ATGAGTCTCATAACGTGACAGCTTGCCTGCAACATCTGCAAGGATTGCGACGCGATGACAGTTGCAGTGGTCTTATCGATCCTCCCAACTTTTGCGTCAATGAGAAAACTGCTATACATCTGCCATTGCCCCCTTCACTGGCTAGCGGAGGATGTGCACAAAAAGGGCGTCATGTGAGGGCATTATAGGCGCTAGGAAATTTCGAATGTTCTGTTGGGAGATGACCTTGATGTAATAGTGCTTTGGGGTCATGGGCCTCGGAAGAATGTAACGTGTGCCTCAGTGGTTGCACCAGCAAAAGGCTTCTACCTACTCTGATGCTGGCACCGCTGCATATGCATGGGGACCCACATAGCTCTCGAACCAATGTCTCGGATTCACAGTAGTTTCGTATTCCGAAGGGAGACCTTCAAATTTCAATTTGACAGCTCCCTGAGGTAGCAAGTCATGGCTAGGTTCGGACTGGTAGGAGCACTGACTTGGAGTCAAAACCTATGCCTGAAACGGCTAGGTTTACTGGTTATCACAGAAGGTGCAGTCACTTTCATGCCCTTTGTGAATTGCATCATTCTTCAGAAGTGTTAGAGTTGGCTGAGTAGCGGATGGTCATTTGTCACAGCGCATTGTGGAGTCGGAGTCGGGATATGGACCGGGGTAGATTGCTGTTGCGTCAAGTGACAGGGACCTTTCCGTTTTTGTCAAAACTACCCGAAAGGGAGTATTTGGTGTCATCCTAAAGGTCCAGGATGCCACATTAGATGTTGCGCACCCGGTATCCGGAAGGCTAAGACAAGCGCAGCAACCACCCAACAACACGCAGCCAAACCCTGCAGAGGCATAGCCGACTCCTCCGAACAGCGGCATGGGCGAAGGGAGGTCGAACGACCAAGGCTTAAGGGATTTTACGGTGATGCGCCGGATCCACTGATGCGCCGGATTTTAACCAGCCTACGCATTGGACTTCATTGTAGCAAGGTTCTGGACCTGTGCAAAGGCAACTTCTGATAACAAGGTCTTTCTCTCTAATTGCAGAGCCTAATATCTCATTGCATCGTCCTGCATCTCAACGACCCTGGCCAATTTCTCTCTTCCCTCAAGAAGCAGTGCTCTTTTGGTTCCTTTGACGGGAGAGTGGGACAGTGATCGGAATGGTCTGGTCTTTTTTGGTCCCGGTCTGGTCTAGACCGCCAAGACTTGGTCTGGTTGAGTACTCGTCTCGAGAAACGGAAACCGGCATGCTCGGCGGGCCGGCGATTGACCAATGGGAGCTTGGAGATAACGACTAATATTCCCTTTCGGGTAGTCTTGACAAAAACGGAAAGGCCATCTGCGTCTGGTACCTTAAGCCCTTGTATCCAAATTTGGAAGCGATGCGTGAGACTCCATGACATGCTTTTTCAGCCAACCAGAGCGCGCATGTATGTCAACTTATTGGCGCTATACCTCATTCGGCAACTTGTCGAGTAAAGCCGAGTTAATGGAAGCAGGTTGCTTTGCTTGGCTGACCGGGAGTCCTTACTTTGCTTGGTTGACAAGTATCGAGCAATCACAACCAACCAAGTCAAGTTACTTGGTTGTTGGACACACTGCACGTAAATGTGACCCTTCTATCCGATGACGGCCAGCAATAACACATCGCAGCTGATTCTGGCTGCAACTGCACAAAGGATGCATCGTGACAGGGCGCAGAGAGGTAAGTCGGTGGCCCTTCGAATGCAATAATGCCAAGCCCTATCTCGTCTCATAACTCTCACCTCCCATGACTCGTAACATGGCAGACTGAGTAAACCTTAGTGAAGAGAACAATATTGGGAACCTAGACATTACTAGTCATGTGGACCGCTGTATGCATGACTCTTGAGTCTTTTGCATAAACTAACATGGATTACGAATCAGAGTGCAGTCGTATTCATGGGCGGTGCTTGGCGTCGTATACGTACAATAAGTAGGGAACCGCAGTCTATGTGGCTCATTTCTATAACGCTTCCGTTTTAATTTTCCAGCTTAATCTTATTGGGCCCGAAATTGCACGATGCAATTTGCATGATTTAATGCTAATGACTCAATATCAGGTGGACCCTTTCTTCATATCTATATACACGATGCAATTTGCATGATTTAATGCTAATGACTCAATATCAGGTGGACCCTTTCTTCATATCTATATAACTCGCTGCGTGATACACCAGGTTGGTTTACCAAGTGAAAAGGATAACACGAAGACATTGTTATATTTAACGTAGTACCAAGTCCACGTGGAATGTCCATTTGGGTCGTACGATAGATCATCGAGAATGAAGTCCGCCTTTGGGGTTATTTTTACTGCGGCATTGGGCACTGCCCTGCCACACGTTGGTTGGTCAACTCCGGCTGCCGGCTCCAGCAATATCAATGCGACCAATGAATCGAAGTTGCCGTGGGTCAATGTCGATTCTATCGATTCTAACGATTTCGACAAGTGTATGGAGACCTCGAGGCGTATGTCTGAGGCGTCTCCTCCATCGGGCGAAACTGTCAATAGAGTCTGCGGAACGGAGAACTTCTGTGGGGAGTTTAACCCGGCTTTTTGGTCAAAGCAAGAGGACGAATTTAAGAAATTAACAGAAAATTACGGCTTCGCAAACACTCAAGCATGCTTTGATGCCCACGAACAGAAGCCCGCGGTCTCCCAGTAAACGTGGAGTCAATGCCCATAACCCAATCGCCTGTCATAATGCCAGAGTTGCAATCCACTCCACTGAATCCACGAGTGGATCCACTGAGTGGATCCAC